ACACACATACACACACACATATATATATATATATATATATATATATCACTGTTTGGATGCACCAACTTATACTCATGCATGCATATCCAGCACACAATACATATATATTCACACCTTCACACACTATTTACAACACGAATGGGAAGACAACTTCACACCCACGAATGCTATATAGATATGCACATACACATAGATAAACAATACATATACACATGTAATGTGCTAACAGCAACACATAAATGAACACATATATACATATATAAGCGGAGTTCTCGAACAGCACTATACCAAATCGATGTATGCACACCCGCTACCCCAATCAATAACTGTACTGGTATACATGTATGCAGAGTTTAATACAAATGTTCAGCAGTTCATATTGTATGTACTCACAAAGTCCAACAATCGAGTGCAACTACCATAAATTAGGCACCATAGATAGAAAAAGTACCATACTTCATGCAAGTTGTTTTAACACTGCAGTAGGATAGTGTAAACATGCGAAAGCTAAAAAAAAGTACTTGTGCAGATAGGTGGAATCAAACGCAACCAAACTGGTCTCATGAAAAATCGCGCACACATGTAGAACACATGCACGAAAACACAGGCAAGTATAATAGTATACTGTAATACTCTTTAAGGATAATAGTATACTGTAATACTCTTTAACACTGTTGTGACTAAGAGCTTGTGTGATTTCAATTAAACAAACAACACATATACAACACAAGAATACATTATCAGTAAACTATACAACAGAAGAGTACATTAGCAGTATAGTATAAAACGCCCGCTTCAACACTGTCGAATCAGGACTAATACCGGGCTCGTACTCACCTCGTTTCGAGTTGGTAGCCCTCAGCCGCCACACACTCTTGTATATCTCAAAGTTGTAATTCTTCGGCAGAGCCTCCATAGCCTTTGCCAGTGCTTCGTTCTCCATTATATCTGCGGGTATACGATTAACCATGCGTTTGGTACCGCTTTTGACCACGCGCTTGGGTTTAGTCGCAGGAACTACATCCGTGATGCTGTCCGGAGTGGGTCCCTCAGCGACTGCCGCATTCGAAGATGCATCAGACTGTTTGCTGGCTGTGATTTGTTTATTCGCACTTTTCAGCCCAACAAAGCGACCTCGGCCCTTTACTGGGGCTGCAGCACTCGTACTACCACTTGTATCAGGCATATCTACACTATAGGGAATGAAGTTCTGAAGCCAGATGCGCTTCTCAATACAATACACATATTCATAATACAACAAATCGCTACATGCACAAGGTTAAAACCCAAAACTTTTCAAAATATTACGAACTCGTGTACACTTTTCAGAGTACATACCGATTTTTTAGCCAAATATTATTGGTCGGAAAAATCAATGACATACCTTTGCATTCGAGTATGATGACTGATGAGAATTTGTGATGCAGTATATATGCTACCAGCTGCAGTGCTGCTAAGTCTGCCAATCTGCCATATATACTCTCCAGGTTAGAGGTTGTACGGGATTGTGGATATATTTCAGTCACGCCTTGTATACGGGTGTCGGGAACACTTTCGTGCATTCAATGAATAAACTATATGGTCATTCTATATAGGTGTCACGATTACATTTATCGGTGGATTGTTGATATGTTCACACGAAGTGAGACTCCAAATAGGTGAGTATGTCACTGCTTGAAGGTGCCGCAATCATGATGCCTCGGATCACAATACCAACTTGCGCGAGTCGAAGATAATACAACCGCAACCTGCGCAGATGTATGTATGTAAAATATGTTCAGAAGTGCGAGAATAAACTCCAGTACCGACAAATACTGCAATAGGTTTCGCATTTTCTTAGAACAGCCGAAATAAGCAGCTAAATATAATACTGTATCAATAAAAAAAAGGTTACTTCCTAAACACAACGCCTTAGACCACTCGGCCAACCTGCAAATTTTATGACAGGTGCAGGACTCGAACCTGCGCATCCGAAGATATTGCGGAGTTCATAACCGTTGCACAACCGCAATTATAAAAAAGGACTCTTAAGTAAAATTATATTATTTGAAATAAAAGATAAAGGGTTTTTACCAGAATACACGCGCCAAGTTTCACAACGACCAGTTACCAGTTACCAGTATGTAAAAACAGGGTAAATAGAGCAGTGGTTGTTTGATTCAGGAGACTCTCTGGCGGGCTGTTTGGTTTAGAGCGTTTTTTAATGCTCTAGCTACAGAGAGGTAAATATAAATACTTTAGGGAGGTCCAAGTTGCAACATATTTACTTATGTTCCGCACTCCACAGTCTTACGTAGTTATGTACTTAGGAGACAGGTCCACACTTCTGTTTATTTATAAGTGTATCAGTTGACTGTCACCTTCACTTTGATGTGGAAGTCACAAACTGGAGAATGTCCGCTCCTTTTGCTAATCTCACAGCGAGTATCGCACATTCGAGCCCGCGGATTGAAGAAAGTGTGCGCGATGGTCCTAGTTCCAGTCAACCCAGTGAACTAACCGTAAAAAACAGCGTTGGTACGGAAGCAGAGACTGTTGTACCTGCGGAAATCAGTGCACCTACTGAGAAGAGCGATTCTGTGGTGCCGATGATTGGATCTGCTATTGTGGTTCCTTTAGCAGCAGTACCTGCGGTTAGTATGTCCAGAGGAGTCGAAGATGAATTACCAGCCACAGCTGAGAGTATTATACCCAATGTTAATACGGGCCGTAAAGACACGATAGAGGAGAGCAAGGCACCGGTGGAGAACTCACCAAATATAGATACGATTAGCACAGCCATTGCAAAGACGGACAGCCAGCCCAAGACAAGTATCGACACTAAAACAAACGCAGACATAGGCAGCACATCTAACACCAACACCTGTGGCTCTACACAGCCGGAGAAAAGCCAGAACTCTAGTGCTAGCGACGAAACAGATACACAGAATAGTGGATCTACAGACGTGCCTGTGTTGGAGAATGTACCACCGACCACGACGAACCGCAACACTGGTGCGACGCGATCGCCTACGCCACCGACAACAGCCAAAGCTTTACCATATGTCGAGAGTGCCGAGGATGCGGCCAAGTTCAAAAAGAGCTGCGACAATCTGACCCGGAAGTTCAAAAGCGAGTCCAAGGTCCTGAACACGGAGGTCAGGACCATTCTGTCCTGGCACTTTGAGAGGCTAGTGGTGGGCAAGCAGTGGAAGGGTGTGAAAGGTATGTATGCGGAGTGGTTTATTGAGCTTCTACTATAGGTGCCCTGGAATGTTAGCATATGATTGTAGTTATATACTTCCAACTCTGAGTGTATTAGACGCTTTGTGAAAGGTATGTATGCGGAGTGGTTTACTGGGCTTCTACTATAGAAGCCCTGGAATATTAGCATATGATTGTAGTTATATACTTCCAACCCTGAGTGTATTAGACGCTTTGTGAAAGGTATGTATGCGGAGTGGTTTACTGGGCTTCTACTATAGAAGCCCTGGAATATTAGCATATGATTGTAGTTATATACTTCCAACCCTGAGTGTATTAGACGCTTTGTGAAAGGTATGTATGCGGAGTGGCTTATTGGGCTTCTACTATAGAAGCCTTGGAATGTTAGCGTATGATAGTAGTTATATACTTCTAACTCTGAGTGTATTAGACGCTTTGTGGTCTTCCGGTGCACTACGGGAATGTATAGAGGCGCTTCATGTTTACTGCGCAGAAAACGCGAGGTCGAGTGAACCCCGCCAGGTATAGTCTAACATTCATGTGTCAATTAGTCTAAAATTCATGTGTCAATTAGTCTAACATTCATGTGTCAATTAGCCTATCATTCATGTGTCAGTGGGTTCTTTTCGAAAGCACAGCGGAACTCAAAGCTGTTAAGTTGTATGTCGGTTTAGACTATACTTTCCATTGGATGTTTGCGCCGTCTATACATCCCCACGGCCAAATAGTAGTCACTCTTGTCTCATAAAGGAAGCATTAGGACGATAGCCTAAGAATTATTCGCTACCTACCATTCATTCTGATAACTATCAACACCGTTCCAAAAACCCACACCACACAAGAAAAGGCTAACCTTGGAATATCCTCCTCGATGGCTCAGTGCAGAAAGTTTACGTTCAATTCAGGCGAATCGGCTTGATTACACTAAACTTGTCGCACAAACTATCAAACAGTGCACAGATCCGAATGCATTGGTCTTCCTATCTGATATTGCTTTTCCCGTGGTGGCGGATCCTTTCATACACACTCTGGCATAAAAAAAATCCTCATCCATGCCGAATGAGCACTGGAAAGATCGCGAATGCTTTGAAACTTACTATTTGATATTGGTTTTCAAGTAGTGGCAGATCCTTTCAAACACATTCTGGCATAAAATATTCTTCATCCATGCCAAACAGAGTTTTTGAGCATGTGGAAAGATCAGGTGCCCGTCGATGAGACCTACCTGCTAATTGCACACATCACATGCGCGCTCAGCAACAAGGACGATGTTGTCGCCAGAGCCAATCTGCTACAGACTATCGATGCATTGGAAGTTCTGTACCAAATCGCATCGAACGCCAAGACATCCAGGAAGGCGTACGAGCGCATGATCCGAAGTGTCAAACTACAGGTAGGTATGCGCAGGAGTGTGCGGCTACTGGTGTGAGGTGTGCTGCATAGTACAACTCGACGGAACGTATGGGCTTTGAGTGTGCAAACGTCCCACGCCTTGTGTGCAAGTGGTACATGTGCATGCATGCTGTGGGTCAAGCCACGGTCTTGTGCGCTCTCTGTGGGTATGTTTGGACGTGACAGCATGGTGCAACAATTGTGGTGTCTAAGTGTACCGTCGTGACGGTGTGGGTGAGCCGGTTCAATCGGCTGTAAATCAGGGTTGAGGTTTGGGTTTGAATTTTTCATCCCAGTACCAGTCTGCAGGCGTGGGGAGTGCTACAAATTTACATATCATATCGTATGCTCTTTGGTCTTTCTGGACATGCATGGTGCGTGTTCAATCGATATGCTGTATACCAGGTTGCGACTTGCGTTTGGGTTTTATATTTCATTCGTGTGTCCATCTGCAGGAGTGAGGAGTGCTGCATATTAGTTGGCGTGTTCTACGATCTCTCTGACCATGCGTGCTTGTTATAGCAAGTCAATCTGTATTGTTTGTGGCTTGCGTTTGGGTTTTGTATTTTATTCGTTTGTCCATCTGCAGGAGTGAGGGGTGCTGCATATTAGTTGGCGTGTTCTACGATCTCACTGACCATGCGTGCTTGTTATAGCAAGTTAATCTATATTGTTTGTGGCTTGCGTTCGGGTTTTAT